AAGGAACAAGCCGGGCAGTGGTGGCGCACGCCTTTAATCCCAGCACTCGGGAGGTGGAGGCAGGCGGATCTCTGTGAGTTTGAGGCCAGCCTGGTCTACAGAGCGAGTTCCAGGACAGTCCCCAAAGCTACACAGAGAAACCCTGTCTCGAAAAAAAAAAATCAAAAAACAAAACAAACAAAAAACCAAAACCAAACCAAAACAAAACCAAAAAGGACCAGCCACACTATCCAGGGACCCTCCAGTAGCAACGAGACTCTATCCCATCCATGATATTTCTGTCAGGAAGGGACCACGTTCTCACTGCACTGACAGACAGGAGCATTCACTGAGTGCAGTCACGACTGGCTGACCTGGGATGCAAAGCACAGGGGTTGCTGATCACTTGTCCTGGACACCCCGAACCCTTCTGCTGGCAAGAGGCTGGTTTATTTCCTGATGCTTTCCTGTCACAAAATTCTAGGATGCCGTTCAAATAAGGGGCCAAGAGGAGCAGTGTCCACTGCGTTCCTACCAGGGGCAATGTGGACGGGGCGGGGGACAGCCCTATGGCCCTGAAGTGGGTTTCTGGGTCCAGGGCACTTGGGCATGGCCCCCACAACACGGGAGCAGAAGCGTTTGACCTCAGGGCTCTTCCTGCGCCATGCTGGCAGCACTGGACATCTGCGGAGCGCTGCCTGGGTGCCGAGCATGCGCATCAGCTTGTGTGCGCTCACCTCTTCCTCTAAAAACAATCCTGGGAAGGAAGCACTGTGCAGCTGGGCCAACAGCCCCAGAGCGGTCACCAAACTTGCCCAAGATCACGCAGCTAGGGACAGCAGATGGCAGTAAATCCCTGCCCTCAGTGAACTCCGTCCCCCAAGTTCTAGCGGTGGGTATCAGTGGCTGGCCTCTTCTGCAGGCAAAGGGGCGGGGCCTCTGTGTACCAGGCCACTTGCTTTACAATATGGTGGCTGTCTCTCCTACCACTGTACCCTGCACTGTCCCAGTCTGAGGACTGACCTCCGCAACAGGAGCAGTAAGAGCAGGTAGCTCTTGGTGCTTGGGGCTGGGTCCCGGGCACATGTCCCTATTAATTCCCAGGGGGCAGGGCTGGCAAGATGGTTCATCGGGTAAAGGTACCTATTGACAAGCCTGTTAGGGGGTGTTTAATCCCCAGGACTCACATTGTAGAAGACGCCTCTGACCTCCACCTCTTACACACAGAAAATATATAAAATAATTATAATCACCACAGGCCCAGGAAACTGAGGCCCCGCCCACTCCTCGAGAGCCACACAAGCTTATCTGGACCTCAAGTCCATGCCCCTCTGCCACCGGATGACAGGAGGTGTCCCCTATGGTAAACTTCTGGAGGAAGGAAAGGGCACGTGCTCTGGCCTGAGTGACAGGCCAAGAGTGGGCTGTCGTCTTCTCTGGTGGCCTTGGGAGTGTCTTCCGATGGGGCCTGCTGAGCCGGATGTGGAGGAGAACGAGCTACTGAGACAGTGGAATGCCCAGTTCACAGAAACCGGCCTTCAGCAAGAGGATCTGCCCTCAGAGAAAGAATAGCTTTGAGGAAGGATGGGGCAGCGTGGGGTGGTTGGCATGGTGAGGGGCCACACACAGAGACCAGAGAGACCAGGCTCAGACAGTAACCATTGCCACCACAGCTCCTGTAGATCTTGGCAAAGGGAGGCACTGGTGTGATCTCAGGACCTTCCCCATGTGCAGACACCCAATGCAGTCCCTGGGACTGGGCCGTAGGAACCCATTCCATCTGAGCACTGCACATGGGAAGCTGGGCAGGGTCTCACTCAGCCAGACAGCCCAGGTCTGCCCATTCCTGCCTACTCCCAGGGCATCCTGTGTCTATAGGGCTCAGCCTACTTGAGGTCACTGGTAATGGCAGAGGCCACCCAACAGCCCCTGCTGGGTCCAGGAAAGAAGCAGGAGTGTGGTACAGTGCTGGATTCAGGCCAGGGCAGCTGCTCCCACCTCTGGGATCCTCTCACTGGCTCCGGGAATGGAGCCTTGTCTTCTGGGTGTGCTCTTGTGGACTTTGAATTCTGAGAACTGTCACCATTGACAGGGACACTGAGACAGGCAGGCCAGGCTGTGTTTCAGTACCACCAGTGGCTCCAGCTCCCACAAACAGCCACAGGGGAAAAGGCTAGCCCAAGATCACGCAACAAGAAAGCAGGGAAGCCTGAGTTTGAACCTAGGTCTGTCGGAATCCAGACTGTCAAGTCGATAAGGACTATTTACAACATTGTCAAATGGTCACCTCTGCCTGTCCCTTTCTGAAGACCCTGGACAGGCCCCCGAGAGTGCCAGGAGAGCTAGTGTGAGCCCAGGTAGGTTGGTGAAGATTTCACTGTGTCCCACACCCCTTGAGTTCCAGGCAGATGACCCCAGGCCCGGCACCCAACAGTGTGAGCTTGAAAGAGTAAATGGATCAAAGCAGCCTTCCTTCCTGTCTGCTGGCCCCACACCTCTCCCCTCCCCAGGGCACCAGGGCACCCTGGGGTGCATGCTTACTGCCGGGAGTGCCCTAGGGACCAGGCAATGGGCTCCTAGGGCCCCCACCTAGGAGTCACAACACCCAAGGGACCTCAGAGCTCATCCCAGGCTTCCTGGGTCAACTGCCGCTCTCATTCCCAACACGTGGTCCTTCGGGTACTCACACACGCTCCCACAGATGTCCTCACAGAAGCCCCGGGCCAAAAGCCGTACCATCGGGAGCCCAGAGAAGTTAAGGGACTTGGGCACAGTCACATAGCTAAGGACAGAGGGAGGATTTGCACCCGCATCTTCTAACTAAAGGGATCTGTTCTTGCCATCCTTCCGGGAGCCCAGGGTTCTCCCTCACTTGATAAAGTTCTGAAGGGCTGTGATTTGAATCCTAGGCTCAGAACCAGGTGGCGGCGGCGGCGGCAGCACATGCCTTTAATGCCAGCCCTCATGGGTCTCCATGAGTTCAAGGCCAGCCTGGTCTACAGAGCGAGTTCCAGGACAGCCCGGGCTACACAGAGAAACCCTGTCTCAAAAAAAAAAAAAAAAAAAAAAAACATCAATCCATCCATCCTGGGCCCTGGGAACCACAGCAAATGGGCGGGACTTAGCCCAGTCCCTCCTAGAAGTGCTTCCTGTAACCCTGAGCAATAGCTGTGTCTACATGGCGGTTTCAAACGCGAACACCCCACCGCCACACTATCCAGGGACCCTTTACGGAGAAGAAAGGGGGACAAATTAAACCACTAAAGTCATGTCATACAAGCTGGGCAGACTGTCGTCCCAGCCACTCAGGAAGCTGAGGCAGGAGGATTGTTTGAGAGCAGGAGTTCAACATCAGACGGGGGGGGGGGGGGGGGGGGACGACACAGTAAGAATCATCTCAAATGTTTATTATTATCAGTATTATTGCTTTGGTTTTTTGAGACAGGTTCTCTCTTCATAGTTGTCCTAGAACTCACCATGTAGACAAACCAGCATAAACTCATAGAGATCTGCCTGCCTCTGCCTCTGCCTCCCAAGTGCTAGGGTTAAAAGTAAACACCACTATGTCAGGCTCAAATATTAAAAATAATAATAATAATACAAAATTCTGCGACAGTTAAATCTTCACTGTCAACTTGACTGGATTTAAAATCACAAAGAGACACACCTCTGGGTGAGGCTCAGGGCCCACCTCTAGGTGAGGCTCAGGGCACAGACTGAATTGAAAAGCTAAGCACCAAACTGACCCCTCGCTGCTTCCTTACTGTGGAAACAATGACAGCGGCCACCTCACTCCTGCCCCACCCCCACGCCTTCTCCACCGCGATGGACTGACTGTGGGCCCTTAAACTGTGAGCCACACAAACTCACTCTTCATTAAGTTGACTTTTGTCAGATGTTTGGCCACAGAAAGGAGAAAAGCAACCAAAGCACACTCTTTATCGTTTACAGAAATACTTACAATTTACCCTAAGTCTCTCCCACAGAGTCAAAACTGCACATACAAGGGGAAATGCACAGGAGGGAAAATGGGAAGAACATGAACAAAGATGTCAACAGCGGCTACATTATCAAGACAGATCAACTTTAATCTCCTCATTTATTTTGCCCACTTTGTAATTTTTGGATTCCCTTTCCTCCTACATTCACAAATGCGTAAGGCTGTTCAAATCCACATCCCTTTCTCCTGCTACAGAGGTGATTCATCGGGATGGGCAGAGAGCCTCCAGCACTGACTGTGGGAGGAGGATGTGGGTCCCAGTCACGTCTCCTAAACACCAACCCTGACATAGGGAGGTCCACACACACAGGCCCCGGCCTCTGGTATCCAGCCACCCTTCAGGTTTCTCTGGGCATTTCCAGCTCAGGCCTGCTTCTCTGGATCCAACTCTAGCAACCTGTATTCCTCCGGAGTGAGGATTAGAAAGTATGGTGCCACCCTTCTCTGGTCCAGCACAGCATCCTTCCCTAAAGGAAGGAGATGGCCAGGCTGTCCAGAGCGTCTTCTCTCTAGAGTGACAATTGAACGAGGAGGCTGGGCTTACAGACGTCAGGAGAGGTACAAAGGGGCTCTGGGTCCAGAGGACGCTAAGGCAGGGAGGGGGCACGGCCAGAGGGCTGCAGGAGAAACATGGGCATGTGGCCCACCTGCTGTCACCAGGCAATAGGGACGACACCCCAGAACTTTATCTAAAGGTGGCCAAACCTAGTCTCTTACACACACACACACACACACACACACACACACACACACACACACGTTTGCTCTCTATGGGGACAATGTCATCTCACCACCGCCCTCCAGGGGAGTATATTTACCCAGTCTTCCTCTGTGTTCACGTCACCAAACCTTGTCCCTCACCATCCTCACCTTCCCAAGCCCCACAGCTCGGGATGCAAGGTTGTACCAATGGACAGAAGGCCCGGAGTGCTTCCGAGTCCAGAGAAGCTTGGCGAGCCCAGAAGAGGGCAGGCCAAAGCGAAGCTGCACCCAGCGCCCCGGGGGGTCTGCGTCGACTCACCAAACATGCTGCCCTCGTAGCCATCCTTTGTGAGGGGCCGGAGCTCATTCTTGCCCATCGCATACCGGCGGTAATTCTGCCACGAAAACCGCATCATCTGCGGGAAAGAGCAGGGGACCAGACCCCAGTGAGACGATGCTGGTGGCCAGTGGTGCCCACCACACCCTCTGCCAAAGGTCTCAGCCTGATTTCATTCCCAATCAGAGCTGCCTGGGAAAGCCATCCCCCTCCAGTCTCTCCACACACCTAAGATCACCCAGAGGTTTCCAAGAAGGAAGCTAACCCACCTCCTAGGCAGGGAGTGTGGCTCAGTGGTAGGGACCTGCCCATCTTTGTATGAGGTCCTTCTTTGGATCCCCAGTACTGCCAAGGGAAAAAAAAATGAAGGCCACCTCTTCCATGTAGCCTTCCCTGCCCTGCCCTGGTCTAAGGGAAGAGAAAGAACTCATTTACTCACAGGGTGAGTGCCTGTCTTAATTTAACAGAATGATCTCTCCCCTCCCTCCCCCACCCTCCTCCTGACAAAGTATTGCGAATCACCATCTATATATATACATAAGAGCTGGGTCCGAAGTGGGGTGACCTGCCCAAACAGCCCCCGGTGACAATCTGTGCCCACCCTGCTTCCTCATTCCCAGAATCTCCCTCACTGGCTTTCACACTGTCACTTTCACTTCTGCATGGCCGGGTGCAGGAGGAGGGCTGGGGGGTGGGGGGTGGGGACAGAGCTCCAGGGTGACAGAGGAATGGAGCCCAAAGCAGGATTTGCAGGAGGTGCAGGTAGCTGGGGAAGAATGGGTGCAGTAGACGGACTGGGGGCTTGAATTCTAACCCCGCCTCTGCCACCCCCCCACCCCGGCCCGGATGCTACTCTTTGTGGGAAGCCTGCTTTAACAAGACAGGGTGACGCCTGCTCAGCCACCATCTTAGAAGGGTTCAACAACGGAAGAAGGAAGCGGAAATGCCTGCCTCCAATGGCAGGGACTGACGAACACTGGCTGTCCTCCCTGCCTGGCCTTCAGAGGCCCGGTATGGCTCTCCCAGCCCTTCCTGCTTCCCACCTTATCCCTCGGCTCTCAAAAGCTAGCCAGAAGCGGTGAGCCCAGGCCAGTGAGGCTACTCCCCAAGCTTCTGACTTAGCAGGTCTGGGGCAAGGCATGGACTTGCCTTTAACAGTTCCCACATGCTGTGGCTGATCCCCGGGCCCCACAGAGGACCACCTGTATCACACACATGAGCTTCTAAATGCTTGGAACCAGAGCATTCTGGATTTCGGATTTTTTTTTTCTCAGTATTTCAAATATCTGTATATACATAATGAAATATCTTGGAGAGGGACCCAAGTCTAAACAGGAAATTTGTGCTTCTCCTCTATACCTTAGGCACATAGCCTGAACGTAATTTTACACAGGTGTGATATTTGGTGGTGTTCTGACAACAAAATCTGGAGATCAGAGGGTGGAGCTAGCCACTAGTTAACCATAGAGGCCAGGTGGTGGCGGCTCACGCCTTTGATCCCAGCACCTGGGAGGCTCGCGCCTTTGATCCCAGCACAATCAGGAGTGGAGACAGGATCTCAGGTCCATTCAGTCTGAGGATACAGAGAGGTAAGAAGTCACTAGTGGCTGCTGCTCTGCTCTGCTCTGCTCCGCTCTGCCAGGTTATTTCTCCAATATTTGTCTCCTGGTTTTTATTGATAACACTAATTAGGACCACACTTCACAGTACTTTTACTGCATCTGTGGTGTGAATGTGACCCTGTTACATGAAGTCGGGTGTGGAAGTGAGGTCATGCTGTCTCCCCCAAAATTTCAGTTTGGATCACTTTTGGATTTCTCTAAAAGTCAATTCATTTTTATTTTTTTATGGGTGTTTTGCCTGCACCTATGCACATGTATGTACATGTAACAAGTACATGCCTGGTGCCTACAGAGGCTACAGAGGGTGACAGATGCCCTGGAACGAGCTACAGGTGGTGACTGGAGTTACAGCTGCCATGTGGGTGCTGGGAACTGAACCCAGGTCTTCTGGAAGAGCAGCCAGTGCTCTTAACTGCCAACCCACTTCTCCAGCCCCTCCCTTGGGTGGGTTTTTGTCTGTTGGTATTTATTTACTTACATACTTATTTTGAGACAGAGTCTCACTGTTTGAGTCTGGCCTCAAACTTGCTATATAGACCAGGCTGGCCTTGAACATACAGAGCTCCACCTGCCTTTGCCTCCCAAATGCTGGGATTAAAGGTGTGTGTCACCACACCTGGCTTTCATTTTTTTAAATTAAAGATATTTGATCTATATTATATGTGTATGTTTGCTTGTTTTTTGAGGCAGGGTTTCATGTAGCCCAGGCTGGCCCCTGAGGCACTACACTGCCAAAGACAATCTTAAACTCGTGGTCCTCCTGTCTCCGCCTCTCACGTGGTTCTGGGGATGGAACCGGGGCCTCCTGCACGTTAGGCGAGCACTCTGCTGACTGAGCCACATCCAAGTCCCTCCAACCTGCACGTGCTGGGTTCCGTTTCTCAGTGTTGCCTTGGTTTACGCTGCCCCGTTTCCTGCTGCAGCACCTGACTCTGCAGCGGGCCCTGCCACATTCCCCTGCTCAGCTGTGTCCCTGGCCCCCAGACTTAGAAGCCAGAATCTCTTCTGGCAATATTGCTGCTGTGACCAAAATCCCCAGGGGAGCGACCTCACGGCGGTGTGGGCTGGACTCCGAATGGCAGGACGCTCTAGCACCATGTTCCCGGGAGACAAATGGTGAAACTGAGGCTCTTACATGGAGAGTGATTGGGGATGAGCAGCTAGCCAGACTGGAACGTGATTGTCTCTCCAGAGCAGCAGGCCCCATCATACGGAGCCATGTGGGGCTCCCAGCTGCACAGCCCATGCCGATGTCATGGCAGTGCATGGTAAGAACTCGGCACAGGCCTGGAGGCCTGCCTCCGTTCCTCTGTTATTTTCTACTTATCTCGAATTGGCAATAGCGGGGAGTAATTGCTGGGTATGCATGCGGAGGGAGAATAGAGTCCTCCCTCCCTCTCTCCTGTGAACCCCCCCCCCCCGCCCCCGCCATCACAGTTGGCAGGGGGGTAGGCAGCAACAAGATTTCAGAACATAAACCACAGAAAGGTTGGAGCAGAGGTGTGTGCGGGCTGCCACACCCCACCCTGAACCTAACCCTGCTTAGAAATAAGTGAGTGCTCAGGATGAGTTACGGGGATCACGGGTGTCTACCCAGAGCTGTCCCCTCTGGGCTGCGGCCTGTCTGTTCTCACAGCCAGCCACATCGGTGGGGTGACGACAGAGGTAGCCAAAGGCACAAATGATCCCTGTGTCACCTGGGGCTGGACCTGGAAGGCATTGCAGCTGCCTCTGTGTGCAAACCCTCACATGCACGCGCACTGCCCCTCGGGCCCAGATGCTTGGGTATCAGATGGGCGTGCACACACTTAGCAAGTACCTGCTAGGCCCGGGCGTGGGCTGCAGTTTGCGAGCTGTGCTGTGGAGGCGATGTTCTCCCAGCCCCACCCTCTCCCCCTGCCAGCTGCTCATCTTCCTTCAGGGCCTGGCTGAAGGATGCCTGTGCAGAGGGTCTTCAGTGCCAGCCCTGCCTGAGTCAGCCCATGTTCCAGTTCAAGATCATCCTGGTTATGTGGTAGGTTAGAGGCCAGCCTGGGCTGCATGAGACCCTGCCTCAAAAACCAACCAACCAAACAGGTACCTGGGTGTCCGGGGTCAGGCATATTTTCCCTACTGCCTTCAATGTAGTCCCCACCCCCTATTTGTACTGCGCACCCACCACCGACACATGGGAGAAGCTTATTAAATGCCTGCTAAAGCAATGAATGAAGAGCAAATAGGAAAACGGGCTTTGCAGCTAACCCGTGGCCAGGAGGCCTTTGTGGACACAGATGAGACCCAGCCTGCTCAAAGACAGTCTTCAGAGGAGCCTACTGGGACCCAAATGCTTAGACAGACACATAGGATACAAGGGGCACACGAAGAGACTTGTCCAAAGGCATGAAAGGTAGCAATGTGAACCTAAGGTCCTAAAGACCCTGGAGGTTACTCAAGAAAGGTAGCAATGTGAACCTAAGGTCCTAAAGACCCTGGAGGTCACTCAAGCTCCCTCCTGTCTCCCAAGTTCCTAAGTAGAACATAAGTTACCTCTCCTTGGATATGGACACCCCAATGATGGAGGGGGGCTCACCTTACTGGGAAACCCCATCAGCTGCAGAATGTCACAAGTCCTCCCTGAACCCATCAAATCTATTCTCCCCTAGTGTTCAGAGGGAAGAAGCATCTTCCACAGCACACACATTCACTTTGGGGACCCAACTCTCAAACAGCCTCGCTCTGTCAACAGGTGGGTCATCACTAACCTCTGAATACTGCATGCTTGGCCACGGCACCCTCTGTGACCACACACCTTCCTGCACTACATGTTTCTGGGGTACGTGACTTAATCACCTCATTTGGGCAAAGAGCAGAAACAGCATCAACCTGCCTTGGCCATTCTGCAGCTGTGGGTCCACCCTTTGTCCCCAGTGATTCCTGTGTCACCAGGCTCTGTCTGCCATCCCACGCTATCCAGAACTTTGTGAACCAGATCTGAATGCAGCTCGATGTCTGCCTGCTTTGAGCAACGGACAGACTTGGACGAGATGGACTGACATCTGTGTGCAACCCAGATTTGGGGCATAAGTGGAAATGGCTGGGCTGAGGAGGAGGAATCACCAGAGGCCTTACGCTTGGATCTAGCACCACTCACCAACACTTGCCAAGAGCTCACCAGGCGGTCAGCAAAAGCCCATCTCTCCACTTTTGTGTGAGAAGCCTGTGAAAGGCTGAAATACGGACCTTGGCGCTCGTACCGCCAGCACAGAGCAAACACTTTTTTTAAAAAGGAAAATAAGGGGTTTAGGCTGGCAGGATTGTTCTTGGAGAACTCATTTTGGCCGCCTCTGATCATTCCTTCTTGTTCTAAACGCTTACAGATCACTAACTTAGATCCCGTTAGTCCCATTAGGATGGCTCTATGCAGAAAGATGAAGTCAAATCGCTGGCAGGGATGCGGGGAGATGGAAGGCCTCATCAG